AGCCCAGCCGGAGCCATGCAGGCCTTCCTCAAAGGCCCGTCTTCGATCAGCACCAAGCCCCCCGCTGCCAAGGAGAAGGGCGCAGCCAGCGCAGCGGGGAGCAGCGGGGAGGGCAAGAGGCTCAAGCCCATCCCCTGGGTGGAGAAATAGTAAGGGCTGCTCTGGGGTTTGGGGTCGCTGGCCGGGGGAGGGGAGGGGCGGTGGGCTGCGGAGGGGTGTGTGGAGGCGGGAGCGGGTGCAGAGCAAAGGGGTTTGCAGCTGTAGGTGTGTGTCTCTGCCGGGGAGAACAGCTTTGACTTTTCCAGTTTGAGGGGAAAACCAGCACTGTGAGCTGCTGTAAGAGCCCTTTGTTGGTGTTACTGAGCAGAAGACGCCTCCATTGCCCCTGTCAAGTGGTGCAGTGTCGTCCCTGTGGCCTGGTGTGGAAAGCACCCAGTGTTTTGTCCCTGAGAAGCCTTTGTCGGCTCACGGAGAGGTGAAACATTGCAGTGTGCAATACAGTTCTGCTTCTAAAAGCAGCTCAGGCTGGTGTTTACAATAGAAATAGACAAACGGCTTCTGGAGAAATTAGATCACTTCAGTAATGCAGGCCAGATTTCCTGTTATGACTCTGACCTCAACTACAAAATCTGCTGTAATTCTTCAGTACCTCATGTAATCAGAAAAGGAAATATTTTTCTCGATTTCAGTTTTCTTCTGAAACTTTGTTAGCTAATAAATTGCATTTAATGTCTTTTTATTTAGTCGCCCCAAAAATGTGGATGAAGTTGCCTTCCAGGATGAAGTTGTTGCTGTGCTGAAAAAGTCCTTGGAAGGTGCTGATGTGAGTGTAATGGTAACATCTGCCTAATCAGGATGTTTGGGCAGGAACTTTGCCCAGTGGTAACAAAAACTCCTCTTTTCTAACTCAGCAATGATCACTTTTACAATGGTATTTTACAAACAAGTTAAGGAGCTCCCTTGTAGTATGCTGTGATGTATGTGTAAAATTTGTGATGTTTCCGGCCCTCTAAATATTGTAAAATTGTCAGCTCTGTGATGCAGTTTGGAATTTTTCTGTAGAAGCGTAGTTGGTGAACTTGTTGCTTACAGTTTCAAATCTGGAAAGGGTTTTGCTGTGTCTACACTGCTATTCAGCTGGTACTTCTGACATTGGTGTTTAAGAGGAGAGGGGAAATTTTTCTCTCATAGAAAAGTCTGGATTGACAGTCATTCCTAAATAGTTCCAGTGATCTACCAGTGCCTTTATGAAACTGCTAAACATTAAAACAAATATACTGTGGGCTAATGAGGGAAGTTTAAGTTATAAGTGCCAGATCTGCTACTTAGATGGTGATCCCCTGACTTTTTGGGTTAAAGTTTCCAAGTCAGTCTCTTTGGCTTTGCAAAGCTAAGTATGACAGTTTCACTAACTTCACTGTAATCTGGGACCTAAGAATATAAAGAGGCCAATCAGAGCATTGTCAGTTGCTTTTGTTTACACTGGTGTTTGCTTTTGGATAAAAATTTAGTAAATACTCAGTATGAATGATGGTTTTTCCCTCCAAACCAGGTGATGGGGAGATGGAGGGACTGACATGAGAAGTAAAGTAGGTAGCCAAGAGATGGCTGTCATTTCTTGCAAATCTGGTCAGTTCCTTCCTTCGTGCATGCTGAAACTTTTTTTTTTTTGCTCCACATGTCACCTAGAAGGGTGATTTGTGTGCTCCAAAAGCTTTTTCTGTTTTCATGGACTGTGATGCCAGCTGAAGTGGTTGGTGGATGTTCTGATTTGTGAGACGGCTGTCTGCTCACTAAGAGCTAAAAGGAACAATTTGTACTTCTCAGAATTTTATGCAAGAAGCCTTTCGCCTGTAGTGTGCTCTGATGTACGGTATGCACAGGTAGTCTTTGGTATTTGAAAATTTTATCTTATGACAATTTACTTTGCAGTTCTGGTGTTAAGTAATATGAGTCTATTTCTACCCAACAGTATTAATTTAACCAGTACTTGCAAAAGTAGAAGTACTTTGAGCATAGGAAGCCAAAATGAAGCTGGTACGACAGAACTGGGAAAGACTTGTATAATTCTTTTCCTTAGTTCATGTCTCCAGATTCCGTTTACTTTGAGAATGCTGTTGTAATGTGACCTTGTAATGTAATGTTGTACCCAGAGAAATCTGGGTTTCAACAGCAATGCTGCTGAATTCTAATATTTGTACGGTTGAGGTAATTTGTAAGGAACTATTAACAGCTAAGGAGAAATGAGGTGCTTCAACCTGTTCTGTCTGGACACGTCAGTCATGTAACATTGCTTAGGTGATGGGTTGTGAAGTTCTATTTTGAGCAACAGCTATTTGAAACCTTACAGCTTCAAGATCAGCAATGTTTCTCAGATTATGAGCCTAGTACACTTGTGTTGACTTTTTGCCTCCTGAGTTGAGGAGACAAATCATAACTTCTGCTTACAGCAAAAGGCTTTGTATTTTGCCTTAGCTACCCAAACTCAGCAAGGCATTTGAGAACAAAATAATGCAAGTACTTTAAAATATTTGACACTTCTAAAATCTGGACATTTTTGTTAGTTCTTGAGATGACTCGTTCTGTCAAAAAGGCAGAAGTGTAATTTAAACTCTAAGGTGGCTGGTATTTATTTCAGAAGTTCTTAATGAATTTGAAGATCTAGGGAGATCAAAGAAACAGCTGTGACAACACTATAGCTTTGTGTAATGTGCTTTATTTAAACCTTAGTGTTGAAAAGGGAGAGCCAGTCCTTTATTGATCGGCCTGTAAGTATTTCTGTGCTGTGGTTTGGAGCTGCTAAATGGAGCAAGATTTTTAAGTCCCTGATACATCTCCATCTGTAATAGCAAGCATCTGTCTTGTTATAAACTGGGGATTCCAGAGTCCAAGTGGTTTTGAATAGGAGAAATTTATTTCTGTTTGCCAGGACTGTTGATTTGTTGTTACTTTTTGCAAAGAAACTGAGAAGTGTCATAGTATTCTTTAATTTTAATTTACTTGATGATATCTTAATGACTGAAAAGAGAGTTGGGTGTAGGAGTATCATTGCAACTTACATCTTCATTTCTACTGAAACTTCTAGAAAAGAACTTGGAGTTTGCACTATATGTGGTAACTTTCCCATGAGCAGGATGATGCCTGCAGGTATCCTGCTTACCCCTGGCAAGCATGGAAAAATGGATAACCAGATCAGGTTGCAGTCTGTTTAAAAATACTGCCACAGTTACATAAAGGATTAGGCTGCGCGTGGTGAAAAGGTAGTGTAAATACTGGTGATAACTTCAGTGAGAAACAAATATAAATGAGGTTGAAACAGAAACAGTAGCAAAGAATGGATGTAATGGAATTAGTAAACAGATTCTTATTAAAACTTTTTGCCTGCTAGTGCTTGCTTTGAGAACTGGTAGACTGTGAATTAGCACAGAGGTGTGAAATTGTGAATCTCCACAAAAATGTCTACCCTTGCAGTGTGCTAACCTAACATGGTTGTTGGTAAATTTTCAGCTGTCATTCTGTAAACATTTCCTCTCCCTGGAGCTTTCCTGAAAGGTACAGGGGGATAATAATGTTGTGGTATCTAATTAAAGTTGAAAAAAACATTTGTTAGTACTGAATGCTGTTTACTTTTTAGTCCCTAGGGAAACAAGCAATGAATGATTGGCACAAAGAGCAGGCAAAACTTGAAATTGATTTATTTACTATAAATTGAAAATTGAAAATCTTCTGTCTGTACTTTTACAGTACATACACAGTTGAATCTGTTCTCTGTGTCTTATCTTAGTTGTTACAGTGGGATGCTTGTTACAAAGTTGGTCTGTCTCTCTTTAGTTTTCTGATTGTGGATTGTGTACTCCAGCATTTTTCTCTGATCTTTGAATGTCTTTGGTTTTGCTGTTCCCATTCTGTCTGCATTGCTTGCTACATTCAGGATAAAATTCACTAATCTAATTTTAGTTGACTCTTTAAAAATAGAATATATTTTAAGGGCTGGAAATGAAGTCAGACCGAGAGGTTTGTCTTTTTGCTATTGATTGGAAGGGACTCTTGGATTCTTGTTCTAAGAATGTACAACTGGAACATCCCCTACAGTCAAAGGCAGCAGTTTTAAAGTGAAGCCCGATAATTTGTAAGAGGGGTTAGTTGAAATAGTAGGATAGAAAGCTATCACTCCTATGCTCATTATAAAGCTTCTTGATTTCAGCCAAAGCTTAGTCACAGCTAGCTTACACAAATTTGGTTTTGCCAGCTTTGTTCTTTGTCCCTGTGTTGCTCTGATAGATTATGGAGACCAGTCATATTCCCTCTCAGCTTTGTTTTGCTGAGCTAACTAAATCAAACTCTTTTTTTTTTTTCAAAGTAACTTCTCATAAGATAGGCTCTTCACCCCTTTAATCACCTTTCCCGGTTTGGATTCATCATCCTTGGCTAAGGGTGACCTGAACTGTGTGTAGCTTTCCAGGTGAAGTCTTATAGTGTCATGTTAGTAATTTTCCATCTGTATTGAAACAGCATATCCTAGGACAGCTGTGTTACACAGGCTTATACTGTTCCTCTGACTGACAGACAAAACAAAGTCAGCTTGTATTTTATTCCAACTGATGAATTCCAGACATCTAGCAGATATTTAGTTATTTTCTCAAATTGTAAGATTTCATGCTAAATGTCCTTCTATATTATTACTACGGTCTTTGCTGTGCTGCTTTGATCTTACTGTGTCAGCATATTTCTTTAATGCATGCCTATTTTTCATGCTGAGGTTATTAATTAAATTATTTGAAAGCTCGAGAAATGCCACTGGACTCCTCCTTCGAAAAATCCTTGGATGGATATAGAAACTTGCCAGTGTTGTGCATTCCAGTCAGTCATTGCAGGCATCTCTGCGATGGGTGTTACAGCATGTCTGCAATATAGTGCAGGCATTTGCAAGCCACCTTATTGCAGTGGAATTAATGGCAGCACAGAATTCTCAGCATGGCTTGAAAAGGCAGTTTGGGGAGCTGAGAAAGTACGGGATAGTTAACCTGTGCCAAATATTGTTACAGCTGCACTGCTAGTAGTATGCAGACTGTTCGAAGGGCATCCTTAGATAAATTTGCATGTCACTGCAGTTATAACAGTAACTTCTGTAGCCTTTAGTGATCTCAGACATGGCCTGGAGGGAATACATCAAAATAAAATATAAATTGAAATATCAGTTTAGATAGAACATGTGATGGTGCCACCAAATACGGTGCGTTCATGCTGTGTTATAAACAGCAACTGTCAGTCCTCCTTTAGAGCACTGTATGCAATGACCTAGAATGAAAGACTTGATACTGTCTACGAGGAGGAGTAGATAGTTTCTGTTCTGTCGGGTGCTCAGATTTTCAGCAGGTTTTCCTGTTTGTGGTTTGTTTTGTTTATTTGCTTTTTTAAAAAATTGTGCCTTGCTGTTTCAGCTTCCCAATCTGTTGTTCTATGGCCCACCTGGAACTGGAAAGACTTCCACTATTTTAGCAGCTGCTAGAGAACTCTTTGGGTAAGCTGGAATCAAGTTGCTTTGGTGTAATCCACTATCACATGTCTTCTACTCATGTGACAGAGTGCCTCTGGTCATTGCCTGTTCTTATGTAGCGTCTAGGTCTTTTTCAGGAATATCTTCACATTCTAATTCATCTCTAATGTGAGATTTCTTTCTCATTTGTCCTGTCTCAAGTCATTGATTGCTGTTACCCGTATGTAGACTTACACTTGAGACTAGCAGCCATGTAACCCTGTACCAAGGACTGTGAAAAGAAATGGCTTGCATGTGCCTTACTGAACTTTGTAAAGGAATTCCCATTTTAATGGTATATTCAGTAAGTTGTTAGCTACACACAGATTTCAAAGCACTTCATAAAATGTCTGAATCGTAATCTTTCTATTATGTACCATTGAATTGTGTCTGGAAGTAATATTGGCAGTTGGACTAAAATTTGGTGTGTGTACATTCATCAACTCACTTGTAACACTTGGGAGTTTTTGAACAGTGAATTCAGTGACCCATAAGCAAAAACTGGATGAGAAGGTGGTTTGATGTTATAAGCAAATATAATGTTGATTTTAGTCCCTCCCATTTAAATTCACTGATTTTTTAATTTTTTTTTTTTACAAGAGGTGCTGCTGTATAGTACTGCTGCAGAATACTACCTGTATTATACTTTATAGATATTTCTTTTTGGTAGTATTGCAATGGCAGAGCACAGACAGTGACTGTATCTGGGTATTTTACTTGATCTTCCGCATTGCTCACAGGATGTAAGTAGAAAGGCGTATCATATAGTGCTCTGAACTTATGAAGCCAACTTCCTAGTTTTTTTTTTTTTTTTCCCCTGGGTAACTGATGTAATTTTACACTTCACTGTCTTCTGCAGTCTGGGAGGCAGCTGTAAAAATAGCTTATGGAAATTCATACCTAACATTTAATGATCTCAGTGTAACTGTCTTTTAACAAAGTATTCTGTTTAGTAATGCTGGCAAAAATAATACCTGCCATTCAAAAAGGCCAGAAGGACTGTTGGTATACTTCAAAATGTATCATCACAAGAGTTAGCAGCTAACGGGTTGTAATAAAAATTTCGCAGGCCTGAATTATTCCGGCAAAGAGTCCTTGAGTTAAATGCTTCTGATGAGCGTGGAATACAAGTGATTCGGGAAAAAGTGAAGGCTTTTGCTCAGCTAACTGCATCTGGAAGCCGTTCTGAGTAAGTGCTGGATCAAAGCTGGCTGTGTTTGATAGACTTTCTTGCTTAGGACAAAGCATGTGGTTGGTTTTGTTTAGGTTAACTTTGTAATTCTAATATAAGTGGTGGGTCAGCATTGCTCAGAAGTTTGCAACCCACTCAGTGCTTTGGCTAAGCTTTGACTTCATGTAATTTCATGTTGAGAGTTTGAATCCCTGGGAGAAACGTTTACTGGCCCTGTTAGAGAGAGGCAGACAGGGAAAACCCAACGAGACCAAGCCGCCTGGGTTTGGCGATATGTTGTTGCCTTTGCAAATGTTGTCTGACTCCCATGGAACAGCTCCTGTGGGTAAATTGTGGTGGAGGTTACTTCTACCTGTCATCTGCAGCATCTCGTACAAGATGGGTGCTAGTTTATAAGTTGCTAACAAGATTCTGGTGTTAGGTGTTAGAACAGCATTGGTTGTTAAAAGAAGAAACTTAAAGCAAAAGTACCTACTTGAGAGGACTTTTGCAGTATTCAAGTGTTGGGTTTTTTATGGAAACTCAGTCCCCTCCTTAATTAAAAATATTAGTCCTTTATCTGAAAATAATCAAAAAGATTGAGTCTCTGAATATCTTCTATTTATCAGGTATAAATATTTAAATAAAATATGACTTGCTATTTGTGGTGATTTTTTTTTATTTTACTCAGTCTATACATTGCATGTCTCCTGGATAACAGATTTCTCATATTTCAGTGGTAAAATTTGTCCCCCTTTTAAAATTGTAATCCTGGATGAAGCAGACTCAATGACTTCAGCAGCCCAGGCAGCCTTAAGACGCACAATGGAAAAAGAATCTAAAACAACACGGTTCTGCCTTATTTGTAACTACATCAGCAGGTATGTGTGGAATTTGTTGCTTATTTGGACTTGTTGTTCTTCCTATTCTGTACTCTTTTTTTTTTTTTTTTTTCCTCCCCCTCTTCACTGGGAGGTTGATATCTAGTTTTCATGGTTTCGAGTTAACAGAGATGTAACTGTGTGAGCAGAAGACTGAAAACAATGTTTAGTTATCAACTTCTGGTTTTTACAGTGTCGCAGGTTTAAGGTTATGCTGATTGCTTGGGTCAAGTTCATACAGACAAAGCTTTCATTTACCAAGCACTTACCTTCCTTTCTTTCAGAATAATAGAACCTTTAACATCTCGATGCTCTAAATTCCGCTTCAAGCCTTTGTCAGACAAAATCCAACAGCAGAGGCTATTGGACGTTGCTGAGAAGGAACATGTGAAAATCAGCAGTGAGGTAACTTCATGGTTGCTGTGGAATTTTATTGCTTGCTCCAGGGCGTAATTGCATTACAGCGAAAGGGGCTCAATCAGTGAACTTTTCCAGACGGCTCAATTGTATTAAATACAATATGTAAACTCATTTAGATGAGATGAATTTTAAGAATCTTCCTAAAACCAGAGGAATGTCCGCCAGAGAAAACTGAAGCAAAACTGCAGGGCTTGTTGTTCTGTGCTGAATATTCTTGCATTAAACGGTGCTTCATTCTGAATTTGCCAGCACTTGTTTGTATTAGTAGAGAGGTGAGGTCGCTTTGGAACTTGTGACAATCTGCTTTAGGCACTTCTTGATGTTTTAAAATCAGTGTGCTGAGTGAGAAGGTGTACTGGATCTTAATTAACAGTGAACATAAAACTTGGCATTTTCTGACATTATTTTTCAGGCAGTATCTTACCTTGTTAAAGTCTCAGAAGGGGACTTAAGAAAAGCAATTACTTTTCTTCAAAGTGCCACTCGCCTAATGGGCGGGAAGGAGATCACAGAGAAGATAGTCACTGAAATTGCTGGGGTAAGCTATGCTTTACGGTTTCTCACATAATTAGTCTGCAGAGCATTCGTCTAGTAAGTGTACTTGCTACCTGTATCTACCTTTACTCAAAGTTTGATTTAAAAACTGTTTTATACACGTTAGTATTACAGTATGGTACCGATATGCTATCCACCAGAATTTTAAAGACCTGCCTGATTCTGGACCCTTACTACAAAGCAAGTTTCTAGCACCTTATTCTGTAAGTCAAGAAAAAGTGTAAAATAGTCTTACAGTTCAAACGGAAGTTGAAATATTCTGCCCATGAATGCAAAATGTATTGCCTTTTGTGGGACAGTAGACTAGAACATTTTTTAGCCCTTCTCTATATGTGTGTGTCTGTTATATGTATGTGTGTGTTTATAAGTATAGATCACTGCAAAATATGGTTTGGAAACACCCCAGGGGAATGACTTTCAGTAACAGCTCATTTTCAACTTAATGGTCATAGTGCCAGTGTCTCTTCAAGGATCTCTGCAGGATCTTGCTTTTTTGACAAAACGGCAGTGACTTTTCTAGAATGTCACAGAAATAGTGACAGGGAAAGGAGAAACCTGAGAGGAAAGGCAGTTAATAAAACTTGTGTGAAGGTGTGTTCCTATAGCAACAAAACACCCCCTAAAGCAAGAAATATGAGATTAGGAGTTGAGGAGCTGAAAAATAAATGGGCTTTAGTGATGGACACACTTCCTGTGAAGGTGGGACCCTCACAGGTAATGGTAAGGGTTGTGAGGTCTTTGCTGCGATGGAACCAGAGGCAATTGCTGCTGTGCATGTTTTATGGAACAGTTTTAAACAATTTTCTCAGAGAACTCATTCAGTTATGTGTATCTAGCTATAGAAAAGAGCTGGATTTCACCTACAGATACCTGGAAATCACAATTTCTAAGAAACCTGGCAGAAGTTGACTGTAATGGTAGGAAAGAGAAGCATGACATTCCATTACTGAATAATGCTTGTTTAAGCCAAAGGAACCTAACTTCACATCTTCATAAACACTTCAAGTTATTGGTTGTACATAACTTTTGTGACCCTGGAGTGACCTTAGTATAAAAGATTAATAAAGAAGCTTTGAAACTGAACTGTCCAGCCATTCAGCTGACAGGAATGACAATGGGTAGAGGGGAGAATGTGGGCAGTGCTTCCCTGCTCAGAGCTAAGTAGAGGCATCTGTCAGCTTATTTTTTTTCTTCTGATTTATTGTCTGATCTTGTTGCATTGGGCTTTTTTATATGCCCCTGGTGCACCACTGGAGAGAAATCTCATTTGCTCTTTTGCTTGGGTGTAGAATGGTGCAGAAAGCATTGGCTGATGTAATTGCTGAAGTAGGTCCTCCACCGAGTCAGTGTCCTGAATAAGCCATTGTGTGTTGGGTTTACGAAGGTGACTTTGACAACTCACTATCATTGTATAGTTTTTATTTTAATATCACCAATATAGGACAAATACTACAGCATAGCTCTCACTCTTAAAATTTAGCTAGTTTGTCTTTCTTACTTGCTTTAAAGGGGTTGGGTGAGTAGAGGAATGAGATGCGAAAATGTCCTCCTTCCTAACCAGTTTGCATCTGTTACTGTAGGCATCAACTTCAATTGCAAGTTTACCAAGTTGAAATTAAGCAATGTAACTTCTTGTTATAGGTCATCCCTCAAGAAACAACTGATGAACTGCTACTTGTCTGCCAGAGTGGTTCCTTTGAGAAACTGGAAACACTGGCAAAGGTACAGTCCTCCTGGTGCTCTAACCTGGGTGGTTTTCTAGGTCGCTGCCCTGGGAATAATTTACTGCTGGGCTGCGGCTGAAGAGCATTTGGCCTCAGGTCAGTTAGTGTGGACATTTCAGGAAGCATGTGTTTTACCAGTTAGTACTCTGATCTTTCTCTTCTGAGGAAGAACTGTCAAAGCTGCAAATAAGATTCCCTACCAGTGTGACTCTGGCTTTCTCCTGAGTTAAACTGATGACATGTGGAGCTGTTAGGCTGAATTAGGCAGAGTAGGAATTCCTGGTGGGACACTTGGCTCGGGTCTTTAGAACTGTGTCTTCAGTCAACTGGACTAGCCCTGGACTAGTCACCTTCTTTGTTACACAGAAGCTGTGTTAAATTAGAACATTGACACAAGTTGAACGTGTACTTCTATAAAGCATGAGCACATATTTTGCTGTACAGAGAAATAAGGTTGCACCAACTCTTTCTGTTTGCATAAACAACTCTCTGCCTAAATGGCTTTGTGGACTACTCAATATTTGCTAGTTTTGTAACTGGGCTGTACTGGTACAAAAAAAACCCCAACTATCTTCAGTTGCCATGTTTTTTATTTTATTAAAAAAGTTTTGGCCTTACAGATCTCTGTATGCCTGAGGTTAGCAACTACCAGATGAAGAAAATCCATCAATGTAGGTGGCACTTTAAAATGTGAAAGCTGTGAAACTGCCACATGATGCTGTGGATGCTAAGCTTTCCTAATTTTAGAATGAGATTGGACAGGTTCAGTGGAGGTTGTCAAATGCTTAAAATGTCTCTAGCTCACAACATACCCAAGATGTAAATTGTCAGGGGCTGGAAGAATATTTGGGCAAAATCCTTACTATATGCCTGCCATGCTCTCGCAGTCTTTCCTAGGTGCTCACTTCAGGTCGCTGTCCGGAAAGATGCCGGACTACTTAGAAACCACTGACTTGTCCTCGAAGAAGTTAAATCATTAATATCAGTACAGTCTTTCTGTTCAGACAATTTTTCATCTTGGTTTTCCAGTTTGTGGCATTTCTGCTGCTGATTTATTTCCATTTTCCTCTCTCCCTGACACAGAATCTCATAAATGAAGGGTATGCTGTTGCTCAGCTTGTAAACCAGCTGCATGATACTGTTGTGGAGAGCGAAGATTACAGTGACAAGCAGAAATCTATCATAGTTGAGAAACTCGCGGTAAGTCTGTAGCTCGAGTTAAAAACTCTCCCCACTGATGAATTTTTGTTTGTGCACTTCCTCTCCCAAGAAGTATACAGAAATATTTTAGTTCTGAATGTTTCTTTGTAGAACCTCAATTTTTGTCCTGAGAAATTTCCTGAGCAGGAATTGAAATCCAGCTAAGTGAATTATTAGCCATGTGATATTGTTCTAGTGGTGCTCAAGCAAGAGGTTTGTGGGAAATTTTTTAATATAAATTCAGAGTGAAGAAAGGCAGATGGCATTGATGACCTGCAGAGCAGTGAGTTGCACAGCAAATGGTGCATCCTTTCCTACAAACTGTCACATCTCAGCCTCCTCAAGAAGATGGAGGCCAGAGAGGTGATTTTTCCCAGTTTACTAGGATGGGTATGGGATGTGAAACTGAAGTCATTACCAATTAAGTAAACAGTTGTCAAACTTTCTCTGGGTGTTCTCCGTTGTAACCTAGGAGCCAGCTGCCTTGCACACCACCGTTTTAAGAAGGTTTTACCTTCTCTTTGCAGGAAGTAGACAAATGCCTGGCGGACGGTGCTGATGAATACTTGCAGTTGATGAGTCTGTGTGCCCTTGTGATGCAGCAGCTCACATAGAATGTGTAACTCCTCTGGTAGCAGCACAGAGCGGAGCAGTGTCTTGTTTCACGGGGGGGGGCTGATGTTCCAGGAGCAGGGACTGTGTACTTTTGTACTGTTTTTGCAATAAAAGGACTGCTCTGCAGTTGGAAAAGCTCAGGCTGGAATATTTGTGTTTTTTTCCATGCTTTAGAGATCTGACTGCTGAGGAGCCAGCACTGCTCCTGCTTTGCAGTAGTTGTACACCTACACATGGAAAGGTAAATGCATTGAATATATACATACTGATCAGCTGAGAGCAGGGAAAGGATGAATTGTTCCTTTCAGCCTGTGGTGTTTGGGTTTGAAAGTACTGCCTGGGGAAAAGGACAAGGCTTCAGGCTCAAAGGAGGCTTGCCACCTCCATCTTATGTTGGACCCTTTAGCAGTAAATGCTGCAAAAATCACTTTCTACTAAATGCATTGCAACATTTTGTTCAGCTACTTAAGAAAACATGCGGGGTGAAGGGCAGGTCATGTTTTAAAGAAGTGGCTTAGATTTTCCCAAGTGTCCCATTTGCTTCTTGCTCACAAAACCAGTTTTTGAAGCTGTTACCTGTGAGAACACATCTCTCAGGGGTGGTTGAGCATCTTTGGGGTAGTCTTGGACCCATGGCTCTGTTCCCTTTCATTAATGCTTCTTTCAACACCTGTTTGGCTTCCATTTACTTTGGAAGCTGAATGCCCTGTACTGCCCCACCTGGGAGCAAGCATGAACAGTGCAGGCAGGGGTTTTTTAAAATCAAGCCAGTACTGATTATCAAGCAAGCAATTTCCTACTCTGATGGAAGGGTGATGTAGACACACATCCATCACCCATGAGCTGTGCCACAGGGGGACAGCCTCTGGCAGTTGAAGTTCACCCTTTACCAGAGCCCCTCCCCTTACTGACCTGAGCACTACCTTGCAACCCAGTAACTGGTGCAACAGAGGAGGTCAGGACACTGCACACAAACCTGCCTGCTGAGAGCTGCCAACCTGCAACAGGTCACACACAGCTGCTCTCACCACTGCAGGAAGGAAGATGCCCCTCTAACCAAGAAGCAACTATTCACAATTTAAGTGAATATAGAAGTATTTTATTGAACATTCAAACTTCATTAAGACATGTGCAATATGGCAAATTTTACTGGGTTTAACCCTAACTAAGACAATAGTATGATTGCTTGCTTGCTGGGGCTTAGCAACAGGGTCCAGATCACACTTACCACTAATTAAATACTTTATTGAATAAATACATATGAAACAAAAATGCATTTTAATGCTTTTATAAAAGTTTAGAGATTTTGAAAGGCCTTTCCAATTCGATCTGAAGTGTAAGTACATACAATAAAGGAAGGTAGGCTAGTTTAACATAATTAGCTGACTTTATACAGCACTTATACCTTTTAGTCCATAAGTAAATTATTAAATGATAAAGAACATCTAATACAACCACTTCTATGGAACTAGGAAATAAATTTCTAATAAAGAAAAAATTTACAGACCCCATGACTTTCCACCCAACCCCAACAGTCTAACCCTAAAGTGGATAAAGCCAACGGCTTTCTCCACAGGAGCTCACGACAAAAAGTCGCTTCGCTTATCAAAAATCTGTATTTCTGATCCTTTATGAGCATTGAGACAAGATTCAATAAAACCCCCAAGAAAGAAGCACAATGCACGTTGTGAATCGCCTATTCAGCAACAGCGAGCACTGCATTCACAACCACCTCATCCCAGGGATTAAATGAGATCAGCCACATTCATCGGCATCTCCTCCACTGTAGTATTGTAGAAAGTCTCAATGTCTCGCAGGATCCTCTTGTCCTCTTCAGTGACAAAATTGATAGCCACGCCTTTTCTGCCAAAACGACCACCCCGGCCAATTCTGCACAGAAAGAAAACATGGTAACTATTCTAATCCATTTTAAATGCCCACAAGATCCATTCACTAACTGCTGCTCTTTTATCTGCCACTGGCCAGTTCATGCTGCATTTACAGGACCAGCTGCCACCAAAGTCATTGTCTGGTCAGGAAAAACCATCAGCTAGTGCCAACAGTCAAGAGAAGTGTCCATCCTACAGAGAGCAGAAAAGGTTTCTCTCATCTGCAGAGATCCAACAGACCCACACCATGTGCATCCCATCCCAAGCACATGGCATACAAAAGGCAAGCTACTGTTCAAATATCAGACTGTTCCTAAATTAATCCCATTGTATCCAGTAGTGTGGAACAGCACACCCCACTTGAGAAGTTTAATTAAAATGTAACTGTCTCCAGTGGGAAAACCTAGAGTTTGGGTTTTTTAAACAGAAAAATCCAAGCTCAGTGTTTTTGTGTTAAGGCCAAGCCAGTCACTACCACATCACAGCACAGCTTTGGTTACACCCACCATCAGTTCCACCTCCCTGCAGACTGCACAGTACAGCACCTCCTCAGCCAGAGCTAAATAACTCAAAAACCACTCACAAAACTTGCTGAATAATCATGACAAAGAAACAGCACCATCTTGTGTCATCAACTGCTGCCATCAGCTCCTGTTTTTTTTTTTTTTTTTTTTTTACATCAAGTAACAAAGCAGTTCATTAATTTAGGGACAGTCACTAGAAACCATTAACTAAACCCAGGGAAACGAAACTCAGAGAGGATGCAAACCCACTTTAAGAGGAGCAACCAAGGCACACAAAACACAAACACAACTGGACCTCCAGAGGCAAAAGCAGTCCGGTACAACTGGCTTGCTAAGAATATTAAGGTCTAGTTACTGAGCAGCAGCAACTGAAGATTAGGACCTACAGGTTGGGCTCACACTGCTGTCAAGATGCTCTGCCAATAATGGCTTTTGTAATCATACTCTACAACCTACGTGACAAAGAGGCAGGTCAGTCGCTGGCAATTTCCCCAGATCTCTGCAAAGAATGATAGCCATCACTGAACTCACACATTCATGTTTTCCCACTGCTTTATTTGTCCCAAAGTTCTGCTCCTCCCTCATTTCAGAACCATAAACTTGCAGGTGAGGGCTTTTTTAAAGCAAAACCGCAACTAGTTTTATTTCCTGCCAGCTTTTCAGCAGTTACTGTGTGAATGGATGCATAACATCTCCTGTTATTGGAAAACAGGCAAGGTTCTGTGCTGCCTTCTGTAGAGGATGTGACACTCTTGTAACACACCAACTAGGAGACAGAGCCGACTAACCTGTGAATGTAGTTTTCACGATTGGTCGGCAGGTCATAATTTATAACCAAAGACACTTGCTGCACATCAATGCCACGAGCCTGAAAAGCAATACAGAGTCATTATTGTCACAGTCACAGGCTTTAGGTCAAGTTCTTTATCCCATGCTTTTGTCGACCACATGGTTAGTGATGAACTACAACCGTGTAGTCCATCGTGGAGCGCAGTCTTTACTCTTCCAAGAAGCTCCAAGTAGTTCAGGCCACAAGAACCTTCACTAAATTATGAAGCTTTTGGCACCAGATCTGAACAGACGTGTCTTCAGTGTAAGGTAATACTCACCAGCAAGTCAGTGGTGATCAGGACGCGGCTTGATCCCGACCTAAACTCTCTCATGATAACATCCCGCTCCTTCTGGTCCATGTCACCATGCTGTGGAGTTCAAAAGTTGTAATTACTATAGTTCTCAATACTCCAGACTAGAATATCCTTTAAAAACCAAAGGGATGTATGAAACCCAGCGTCCCTACCTGCCGTGGGAACATAGCAGGTAGAGATAGAAGGAAGCATTTTTCTTTAAGCAGGGGGAACGATAATACAGCACTGCACAGCTATATTATAACTTTCCTGCTTTTCGCTCTAACATAAATGAGCTATATTGCTCATTACAATTTACTTTTCAGTATGTATGCGGCATTTCAGTAGTTACGTTGAAGTTTCTTCAATTCTATGTTGAATTCTTACCAGAGCTGAGACTGTGAAGTCCCTGGCGTGCATTTTCTCTGTAAGCCAGTCTACTTTTCTCCTTGTATTCAGGAAAATAACGGCCTGCGTAATGGTCAGTGTCTCATACAAATCGCAGAGAGTATCCAGCTTCCACTCCTGAACAGAACAAAGAAGATCAGGAAATGCCTCACGCCACTGACAGCTCCGTATATAACAAGAACCCCAAACAAGGAATTAAAAACAACCACCAACTAAGCATGCTCTAGTGTGCAACTATATTCAACACAACCTGAAAAGCTGGAACAAGACACTACAAGTTTCTGCATCAACTGTGGCACCAAATCTTAAGACACAGGACACTGGACATTAAGAAAGAGGTCCACCCTAGTCATTTTTGATCCAGTGCATAGTTTTTCTTCTTCTTGCGTGTACTCTACTAGCATTATTACAGAAACCAAAGCTCAGCCTTAGTTTCTGTAATTTTAGCACAGTGCTTTAGCAAGAAGGTAAAAGAATTTAACCTTAACTCTCCTCCAGCCAGAGCAAGTACAACTGATACCAACCTCTCTTTCTACATTAATGTAGAACTGTTTGATACCCTCCAGAGTCAGTTCTTCCTTCTTCACCAGAATACGAATGGGATCTCTCATGAACTTTTTGGTCACTTCCAACACATCCATGGGCATTGTAGCTGATAGCAACACAACCTAGAATGCATTACTTGGTGTTAGCGTGTACCTAGGACACCAGTTTGGACAATTCCACAGTTCTCAGATACACTGTAACCCATCTGCATCCATCAATTTAACCACGTTAAAGGTTTCTTACCTGGATGTTTGTGCTTAATTTTTGAAAGATCTCATAAATTTGATCCTTAAATCCACGGCTCAACATTTCATCGGCTTCATCCAGAACAAACATTTTGATCCATTTAGGTGCTATTAAAAAAAGAAAGGAATATCACAAGAAGTTTCTGAAACACACTGAATACTTCTGTTAATGTCACCCTCTTTCAGGACTAAGCTTTCCCGCACAACTCGTCACAAGGACAGCAAATGCATTACTTAGGCTCTTACTGGCTGCGGAATTTATACTGGAAATGTATTAA